GGGGGGGGGGTGGATTATTGAAGTAAATATGTTGCATTCCCCTGCATGGGCAAAGCAGATGTTTGCTGTAACCACTTGAAGAACGGGGTCTCTTCAACCCCTTCCTGGCTAGGCCATTTTTCAGTATTCAGCGCTGTGGTACTTTGACATTTATTCAGTCATGCAATCTTTTGGTGGTATTTAATTACCACTGGGGTTTTCATTTTTATACTATATAACAAAAAAAGTACCATAAACTAAAAAGAAAAAAAACTGTTTTCCCCAGGTTATGTTATGAATCATTTTATTGGTAAAATATAAAAGACGGGGTCACGTCGGTAAATAGACAACAAACATGTCAAGCTTTAAAATTGTGCACGCCTGCAAAAAAACTACCACACCCAAAATTGGCTGTTGGCGACGCTTTAAAAGCTTTTACTGCTTTTACCAATTTACTGTTAACAGTAATGGCTCTAAAATTATTGCTCACGCTCTGACATTCGTGATGATATGTAACATATGTGGCATAATGGGCGCAATCGTCGTTTTCGCATGTAAGCTCACCTGACGCATGTTTGCGTGTGTGGGGGACTTGAAAAAAATTTTTTTTTTATATGCGACTTAATTTTTTTTAGTTTTATATATTTTATTGTTATCACATAGGGTATTAATATCAAATTACAGCGACAGGTCCTCTTTTTGCAAAAGAATATGGACACCGGCACTCCAACAGCAGATAGAATAGGTATATATATTGACGTACATGCAAAAAGGTATAGTACACTTAGTGCAACGTTTCGCGGTCACATAGGATCCCCTTCATCAGGCAAAACAAGTGAGAATACAAGTGAAACAAACATGCATGTATATATACAGACCAAATTTAGTGAACAGACCTATCACAGAGCCTGAAGTGGCCCTGTGACGTCCTGATGACGTCATACTCCCCCATAATTTAAATCAAAACGAGTATCAGCATGGCAAGTCAAAGGACATAATGCATAAAGATAAATGTGCTTAACATGTATGGCTTAAATTAGGCACTTAAATACCTTGAGACCGCATTCTCCAGGCGGATAAAAATCTTGCTGCACAAATCAAGACTGCACCTCTACAGGTTTACTGCCGCCGTAGAAACCTGAGGGACCACTTGGTCCAGGCAGATCCCAGTTCCAAATATTCACACAAACCTATCAGGATCTCACACCGCACGGGTTGTTATAAGTGCCCTAACTGCAACATATGCAGTGCACTTATTACTGGGGAAACATTCCCACACCCACACAGTGGCAAAAGATACCACATCAGGGGTTACCTTAGCTGTACTACTGAGGCATGCGTTTACTTATTAAAGTGCCCGTGTGGCCTCGCTTATGTTGCTAAGACCTTAGGACCTTTTAAACAACGGTTTCAGAAACATCGAAGTGATATTAGGAGTGCCATTAAAACGGTTGCAAAACAAGCCCGTGGCTGTCCACTTTGCTTATTTTCGTCACCAGACCCACGAGTTACGTGGGATGGTTATCGAGCATTTAGCGGCAGCCCATAGGGGTGGGAACCATGATAGGTCCCTCCTTCATTGTGAGGCTTTTTGGATCTATACATTAGACACTGTTATACCCAGGGGCCTCAATACAAACCTCATGCTGACATGTTTTTTGCCTGATCGCTAATGCTAACCCCTCCGGGGGCCATTTGTTTTATCCCATATGGTCGTTTAGAATTTTTTACCCTGGGTGGTTTCAACCACAGCATGGTTTTATTTCCTTATCACTGTCATCACTTTACTATTGGTTCTTTTCACAGACCCCTGTATGCTGACCCAGTTTTTACTCCTTCACCATACGGCTATGGTTAATGATACTTTGTGACTGCTCTGTCTATACTGCTCTCTGATACATATTTTCACAGCAACCATTGCTCTGAGCCTGCTGGACAGATGGGGGTTGTGCCGCTACATGCATGCACAACGCATATGTATGCATTGCAATGTGCGTTGTGCATACCCTATAACCAGAATGGGCTTGGCTAGTTTCCTTAGGTTCTCCTAGGTGAGACATAACTAGCTCTAGTTTACACCCTTTGAATAAAATAAATTAAATAAAAATGTTGTGCATAATCAAACATTATGGGGTCTATTCACTAAGCTGCCGTAGGCAGCCGAGTGAATGACCGACCTGAAGTGAAGTGAGCCGAACACTGTTCGGCTATTCACTTCAGGCTGGTACGGCTGATTTCAGCCGTACATCGGCTGAAATCAGCTGTACATCGGCTTTTGGCTTTCAGCACCGCTCAGCTGAGCCGATGCACATGCGTTCGGTTCGGCCATGTTCGGGAGCTGTACGGGCTATAGTGAATAGCCCGTACAGCACCCCTTCGGTTCTACTGAACCGAAGGGGTCCTGGTGCCGAAGCTAGCCGAAGGATGGGCCGAAGCTACATACATACATACATACTTGTTTCACTTGTATTCACACTTGTTTTGACTGATGAAGGGGATCCTATGTAACCCCGAAACATTGCACTAACTGTACTATACCTTTTTTGCATGTACGTCAATAAATAGAACTATTCTATCTGCTGTTGAAGTGCCGGTGTCCATATTCTTTTGCATTACTGTGACGGTGGCCATCCGTTGACTACCGAGCACCCATGTTACTTTGATGGACGAGCGGTCAGGAGTGCAATGGATATATGGACAGGTCCTCTTTTTGGAGACATCAGGGGTCTCTAAGACCGCTAATGTCATCTAGGGACCCCCAAAGGTCTGCTTCACCAGCTTCTCTGATGTAATAAACATCACTTCTTGCATTAACAGAACGGGTTGGAGATCGGAGGGAGATAGTGTACTTATTTTTCTCCATTCTCCCTGCACAGAGCCACAATGCAGGGAGACCAGGATCACGGCAACGGAGGTGGGGGGGTGCATGAACGTACCTCATACAAGCGATCGGGCGTTTCTACAGACGCCGGACTGTTTGTATGTAAACAGCCATCATTGGCTGTTTCAAATTTTAATAGTTTCCCACTCGTGCGCGCCAAGCGGCGTGTGCGTAAAATCAATAGTCACTCGCACTCCAATTTCATGCAAAGTCAATCCCTTTATTGACTAGAATAGTGTCACATTTGTAGCAACGTTTTGGAACCAAGTGGTTCCTTCTTCAGGTAAACATACGGCGGCCTGTGCAAGCACAAAGGATGTTTTGAGACTCCCACCCCCCATCTACAAGACTCCCATCTGGCCGTTTTGCTACGTTTGGCAGACAGAAGGGGGTTAAAAAAACTCCAAGCAAAACTGTTATTAATCCTTGTAGTAGGGTTACCCCTGCATTGCAAGGGTTATTTGCTTGTTTTGTCTAGGTGCTAAAAAAAAAAAGTTATATTGCCCCGATCCTCTGAGTCAGCTTGCTCTTAGACCGGTCCTTGCAGTCTCCCTCCCCCTCCTCTGCAGTGGACTAAGGTCCTGAAAATGAGGACAAAGAAGAACATTCCAAGGCTACACCATAGGAGGAGAGAGGCTTCAGAGACTGGAGAAGCAGGGAGCCGGCTCAGCAGTTCGGGTGAGTATAACCCCTTTTTTTTTGGGCACCTAGATAAAACTGAGCAGTTAACCCTTGCAGTGCGGGGCTATTTATTTTTTAATCTTTTGAAGAACTAAAATTAACATATGATTGGTCAATTATTAACTTTTGCTCCAGTTGCAAGAGTCATTCCCAGACTCTGTTTGTAGAGCTCAAACAATTGTGTTGCAGGTAGAAAGCTGCACATACACTTTAAATAGGTATTACAATATTGAGCATCAGAAACTGTTGGTGTAACTATTTGATTAATGCCGAGTTCCAACCCAAATGCATGCAGTAATGTGTATTTCTAAAACACGTTTACATATTCATTTATTGTGTGCACTTTGTAGTGAGTCTCCTCCAAGGCACATGAGTTTGTGTTAGGGTTACCCAACCCCTTCCCCCAACTGATGTTTTGGTAAGGAAATGCAGAATTTTTCAAAATCGAGGTGGCCTTTATTATTTGTGAAAATGATTAAATGTATTCCTCTTGATATGAACTTAAATGACCCTGAGTACCATTTTTATCATTTTAATCTGGCAAGGATTGGTTTACATGTAGAAATACCACCTCTGTAGGAAACAGTGAGGTGGAAAAAGAAGTTATACTCCAACCAAAAATAGATAATCAGCCAATTGGCTTACTTTATTAATTAGAAACATATGATTAATACATTTAAGAGAGTATGAACACAACAGACACTGTGACAAGGACCTTATAATAAAATTGGCAACGTTGTCAATGCATCACACTTGTTAAAATCACTGAAACAACACCATATCCATGGTGTGGATATGGTGTTTCAGTGACTTTAACAAGTGTAACTTCTTTTTCCACCTCACTGTTTCCTACAGAGGTGGTATTTCTACATGTATGCTTATAGGTTCTCAACCACATCGGTTGATGTGTATTTTTACACACTATAGTGGTATCCTTTTATCCTACATATACAAGGATTGGTTTACCTTGGGGCAACGCAGGCCCTCCCCAGTGTGCACTTAACAGACAGCTTTTGGAAAGGAGAGGATTCTGTTATTCTGCATGGAGCAATTGCACCCTGCACCTGTTACTATAATAACAGGAAAAGCTGTTTTATTACACTACCTATAGTTATTACAGTAGTAATTGTGGTTCTAAATATCAGTATAATACCTTGTATATGAGTGACTAATATAGCGATAAAGGTTAACGCAAAGATAAATATAAAACATTACTTTAGATTTTGAGAGGTTGCTATAATATTCAGGGTGCTGTTCTTAGGGATAGAGTGTATAGTTGTGTGATAATAGCACAAAATCTCTAATCTTTGATTATTGATTATGATTATTAGTATTGCTCATGACTTCTCTTCATTAGACCTTTTTAAAAGATGTGTGCTTTTTTGCAATCCTTGCTGTAAAATATGTTGTGTTACCATAATTGGGTATTATAGAGTTGACAGATGTATTCACTCACTGGACAGTTGAAATTTTCATAAGAGTTGTGTAAAGTCTGAGCTGTGATTTCCACCCCAGACAGTTACTACCGTCTGTCAGTAAATACTGTTTACATGCTATAAACACAGTCACATTCTGCTGGCTTGAATCAGAGTATGAAAAGGAAATGTGGAACTGGCAGTCATAGCAGAAAACTGTGCCAGACAAGAATTACTACTATACAGATGGCCAGCACAAGTGGAGTTTGTTAAGGGTGAATGGTCACATGCTAGTCTGCTGGTAACCTCAAACTAAGGGAGAAATTACAGAATAGCTACAATGTGCCAGCATATGACTGTTGTGCTTCATAGACAAAAACAAAACTGCAGATCGTTATTGTACACTAGATGTTTGGCTGTCTAAACTGTGAGGGACACGAGGCTGAAAACCTGATAGCTGCTGAGCTTTTCCCATAACCAGACAAGGCCTCCGCCTGTGCTCGGTTTTCCTTGAATGCTTCTTAATCACTTATGAAAGTCTTCCAATGTACAGATTTCACCAACCGCCTTTCTAAAAGTCCTTTGTGCAGTTGCCTTTAGCAACCAGTCAAGTTTCAACTTTCAAATGAATGGACATAATATAATTGCCCAGGGGTGCTACCCTCAGTGGCGTATTTGATTATAAATGAAGATGGATTTAATTTTTTAACTAATTGCACCCTACACTTGTCAGTCTCAGGTTTTAAATAGGTTTTGCCCAATATAAGTCTGGTGCTGGGTGTGACTGCTTTCTTGTATCCATTGCTTGGGCTTGCATGTTAAAGAAGAATTTCAAGCAGAAAAAAATTAGCCCTTGCCGTGGGGCTACCGCTGCATTGTAAAGGTTAAGTGCTCATTTTGGTCTATGGTCAAAATGAACAAGGATATACTCACTCAAACCGGTTCCTACAGCTTCTCTCTCCTCCACACCCCCCTCACTCTGCTCTGGCAGTCTAAAGGTGGCCATACACTTTACAACCCTTGCACGACTTTTGTCTTGCGAGGGTTGTAAAGTCATTTAAAAAACGTACGATCTGCCCATCTTGGACAGGCAGATCGTACTTGAGATCATCGCAAGCCTGCCCCACGGGGAGGCTGGCTTCCGATGACTGCAATGCTGAACGGGCAGTGTGCGCGTGTGCACACCGGCCCGTTCGGCATTTGTCTCCCGAGCATGCCATAAACCAGCCGAAAATTCTACGATTTTCGGCTGGTTTTTGAACATGCTCCTTAGACAAAAGTAGAGGCAGTAGAAACGGCCGCACGCCTTCCATACACTTTGCGATAATCGTACGATCGCGGGATTTCCCGCGATTATCGTACGAAATTCGTGCAGTGTACGGGCACCTTAAGGATCCAAGAGTCATCACATCTAATACAGTGTATTGGACGTGAGGACCCTGAGGGACATGCCGTCACTGGAGTGGGAGAGAGACTGCAGGGACAGATCAAGCAGCCAGCTGGTTCGGGTGAGTGTTTCTTTGTTATTTTAGACCCTAGATGAAAGTCAACACTTAACCCTTTTGCAGTGCGGGTGAAGCCCCACTGCAAGGGTTACGTTTTATTCTCTACAGTTCTTTTTTAATACAATAATCTTTTATGAAGACTGTCCTCTGATGAGTGGTTTCTAGGTGCTACAATGTACATGTGCCAAAATAAGTTTATCATCAGACTGTGCCATGCTTATTCCCTGAATCGTATTTCTTTCTTGTCCATTGAGGGACACAGGAATTTAGATGCTGTCAGGTTATACTACTGCTTTACAGGAGGTTAGGACATTTGGCTAGCAAAAAAAACAAAACCTGTATTTCAGCCCAAGATAACCCATCCTACTCCCAGCAGACCTCAGTTTTTTGCTAGTGTTCTAGACCATATTGGGACCTACTTTTATATTTGTTAAAGGTTTTCATTCACTTAGCATAACTTCATAAGCATTTGAAATTTTACAATTTAAAAATTGCTGATTACCATTTTATTTGCTCGTTCTAAAAGAGGTTTTTCTCTAAACTGAATCTTGCCTTTTGAATTCAATGGGGACAGGGATGTTAATGTTTACACTTAAGGCTCACAGGCTAATCCCTTGTCTCTGGCATTTTATTCAGCTACTCCCTCTTTTTTACCCTGTACTACCGCACAGATTTGCGCACCTTCCCCAGTCGTCGTAGGTTTCGCTCACCCCTGAACAACTTGCCCGATGTCAGCTTGGCTTATGGAGCTGTGCTCCACCTGGGACACCACTCTTCTCTTCAGAAAAATCCCCTGCCCTTGTGGCATGTGTGACCCTCAGTAAAACTTGGTTCCCCCTCATTGCCCCTCTTCTCCAGAAGGTCTCTCTGACCTATTAAGTCAACTAGGGCCAGCTTTGACCGTCCAACACCTGCATAAGGGCTTAGATCTTCACTGTCGCCTATGCACTCTCATTCCCATCCAGAATCATCATCTCCGGGGCTGATGTCTGTTCACCCAAAACAGGTAGTTCCTTCTAAATTGTGGGATCCGCTTAAGGGGAGGTGTCCGAGGTCAGACACTTTTGGACACCATTCAGGTGCTGCTGTGTCTTCACGACTCAGAAGGAATGGGGGTCCTTTCTGCTTCAGGAGAGGTAGTCTGACTTCTGCGCTGGACAATACTGGAGTCTCAGCCCCAGTCGCACTGTTTCAGGAGCTTGGAGAAAGGTCCCGTGTCTCACTGGACTCTCTCTGGCAGAAAACTATAGTCTACTGCTGCTGGTACCACTTTACAGAAACTGGGAATGCTTGAATGACATTGTGGGATCTGTCTACCTCAGGGAAGGTTCTCCTTTCTCTGGCTTATTTATAGTCATTAAGGAAGGTACTTTGGGCACCTTCCCTTGTTGTGCCCTAAATCAGCCGGATGTTCTTCACTGTACTACCAAGGTTCCTGTTCTTTGCCGTACGAATGCTGACACTGTATGTGGGAGTTCCGGGATCAATTCTAGACCTATGATAGGGGGGACAGGAATAGGCAGAATTCTTTAGCTGGATCCTGCTGGAGTTACCTTTAGTGAATGATAATAAATATGCAGCGCTGCATATTTATTATCATTCACAAGCTTGACTATAGTGCAGCAGCCTGTAAAATTATGTAATAGTTCTTTAAGACTACCCATAAGCACAGATTTGACATTATTTTGGAGTTACCTTAGTGCCAACTCTTGTGAATTACAAAGGAGGTATTAACTTCATCTATATGGCTGTTCCCATCTTACCAATGTGGGGCTAAGATCTAACATCTGTCCCCTGTCCATGCACCATACTCTTTCTGTCATGTTGACTTTGTGTGATTTGATTTCTTGCGTTCTCTGTAGACTCAGGAGTCGCTTGACAGTCCTGGCTGTTGTGTTCTAACGGGTTTAGGATTTCCCCTGGTAAGTCTTTCTTAGCAAGGTTAGTTGTCTTGACAGACCTCTCTTAGTCAGGGAGTTCTTTTCCCTTGATCCTAGAGGGTTAGAGTTGTAGAGTTTTAGAACTTGCCCCTTTAGACTGGCCAGACTTTTAAACTAGGAATTATTTGGTTTTCGGACCTGTCCTTCTAGGGGTAAACACCATTTTGGTAGACCACATCAGGTTGTGGGTATTTTCTTCCCTTCTAGGGAATTTCTTCTTGTTTCACCTCTTTTTGGCGGGTCTTAGTTGATCAGATTCTCACTTGCTCAGATTTGGTCTTAAGCTGTGTTTTCATGATCATGCTCTTGGCACTGCTTTCCCACTAGAATGAGACAAGCTGGAAGTGGGAGGGTTATCCTGGGTTGGCCTACAGCTTTTTTTTTTCTACTGTCCAATCCTTCTGTAGGCAGCAGTATAAGGATTTTACGGTAAGTACAAAAATCCTGTTATTTTGCTTATCAGTTTATATTCTTTATTTCCAGAAGAATTCCTGGTTTCCACGTTTCTTTTAGTAGTCGCATTTCAAAAATTTAGATATTGAAGCTTACTATTCTACTTAAACAGGGGTGAAGATCAGCAGCCTACTGGGTAAAAAGGGAAATCTGGAAAAGCTGCAAAGTTATTGGGATGTTGGCTACTATATGGGAGCTAGCGTGCTGGCTAATGACCACACGAAGGTTATCCAGGCTGCAGAAAGACTATTCAAACTGAAAACACCTGCATGGTAAGATACTGCTTGAGATAAATGCTTTATTTCTGAGAAAAAAAGGTTACATTGGCAAATCTGATTTCTGGAGATAAAAACCTTATGGATAAAAAGTTTATTTTGGATAAAAAGTTTATTTTGGATAAAAAGATAAAAGTAGACACACAATAGACTTAAAATTATCTTCACTGTAAATTTCATTGTGAAGAGCTTACTCTGCCTAAAGTTGTGCATGCACCTTTTTTGTATAGTTTTACGTTTTAAATTTTTGCACAGTGTACCTTAGGAAATGGTTTTTTTAAAACATTTGGATGTGCATAACAATGTTTTCACATGGGGCAGTTTCTATGGAGTACAGAACAAATTCAAAAAGCCTTCTTCCCATGCTTGCTGATACATGTCATAGACTACCCAGTGCCTGGCCATCAGGAAAAATGTCAACACATAAATCAGATATGTGTAAATTAATGTTCAAATTAAGACTATAATGCCAAATCAGAGCATGGAGGAACACAGGAAAATATCTTTATACTAGAATACTGTATATTATCGCATTACTGCATCAATTATATTACTGCATATATAGTTATTTAATACAGTTCTATTTATACCAGACATACAGAAAATTAAGTACTATTATGCGGTTAGTTTAAACTGCTTCCAGAGTTGTCATAGCATAAAAAGCTAATTTGAGGCTCCACAGTTAAGTTTTCTATTGATATATCTTTTCAGCACTATGGAAAATGTTTATATAAGGGGTGAGGTAGTATTTCAACATATGTTCTAACTGAAAAAACTGAAAAAAAAAGATATTGTTTTTAACGTACTATTATTGTTCTTTAATAAGACTGACTCATCACCATACTGCAAATAAGCCACTACTTATATAAGTCAGTTTCATATAATTACATGGTATCATGTGATGTGTCACTCAGAACATTACCTTCTTGTATTAACAAAGCAAACCTTGGTTCCAATTTTTTCTGCAAACATGTATTTATATTAAATACACAAACTGGTAGTAAATGCGCCTGCTATATTTCTGCTGTCAATTGTGAGCCTTTATGTTATGTATGTAATCAGGGTTTTATATTAAATCATGATGTCCTAGACATGTTTTATTATCATTAGTATAGAATAAGCTAAAAACAGAATGTGCCAAGGAAACATGCCAACTGCTTTGTATGTAATGCAACCACTGGAATTTACATTGTACCAATTGATAATTATACATTATTGAGCATCTGACTATTCACAGCCACTGCCCATTTCCTTTCAGTTCAAATGCTGAATTTAGCCACCAAAGTATAGATGTAATTGAGCCAAGCTATGATAAAGTAAAAACAACACATACACTGTAAAATGTTGGCTTTGATATTGCCCTCTCTTACACTATATCTGGCTTATGGTAACTAGGGATGCACCAATACCGATACAAGTATCAATATTGGTGCCGAACTCTTATTTGCACTCACCCAAATGCTCCCGATACCGGAAATTACGGTATCAGGAAGTCGGGTGGCGAGCCATTACATGCCGCCCAGATTCCTGATTGGCCTTCACTCTGTGACGAGGGAGCATGGAGTCAATCAGGAAGCCAGGTGGCATGTAATGACTTGACGGCCAGCTAGGTGGTGAGTCATTACCCACCCTCCAGCTTCCTGATTGGCCAGAAAGCCAGCTCCAGGCTCCCTCGTCACCTGGTGACGAGGGAGCCTGGAGACGGCTTCCAGGCTAATCGGGAAGCCAGGCGGCGAGTCATTACACGCCTCCTGGCTTCCTTAATGGGACTTCCTGTCTCGGTATTCAGTATCGGCAAGTACCGAATAAAAAAAATATCGGTACTCGTATTCGAAAAAACTGTATCTGCGCCTCACTAACGGTAACCATAGCCCTCTGTCCAATTCCAGGTCTAGCAGCATACAGTCGCATCTGCTTTTATGTTGTATTGTGAATATAGAATGGTTTTTCCTTAAACCTTGCTGGTTTTATATGATCCTACTGTGACCTGGTGCCTGCACTATAACATTCATTTTACAAAAAAAAATATTATCGTTGGCTCTCCATGTGTATTTTTTTCTGTTTACTTTGGGTAATAGAAAGTGTTCTTTTAAAATAATCAGTGTGACTTGCATGTTTTTAATTTTAGGGAAAAAGTGATATTTCTGAAAGGAGTACTGATGCTCTGTATCATACCACTAATTTTACAGCTAGTAGTAGTTAGTCATATTCAACTGGACTTGTTCTGTACTGCTGAAGACATTTGGTTGCTTATCCAAGCCACTTCTTGAGTTCTGTTGAGTTTCAGGAAAATACCCCAGCATTTATATCCTCGCAGGTAGCACCGACACCTTAAAGTAATACTAAACTCAGGTGTTAAATCTTAAAAAATGCATTCAAGTACCTTTTTAACAAAACTGTATCTTATTTGGAGCATCACTCTGACATTGTCCTTTCTTCTGGATGGTGGCTAATTTTGTTCTCCATGGACCCTGTGTGTGTTGAAAAGCAGCCACCACTCCAGGCTCACTCCCATGATAGACTACAATCTTACCTTTTAGTTAGCTAATTTGTATTTTAAGATATACTGTAGTCCATCACAGGAGTGAGCTTGGAGCAGTGACTACTTTACAACACGCACAACAACTATGGGGAAACAGAAGTAGCCACCCTCCTGATGGACCCACAGTGTCGGCATGAATGTAGAGATGATTTAAGGATGGAACAGCCAACTGCTACATACAGTTGTGTGAAAAAGTGTTGGCCCCCTTCCTGATTTTTCATTGTTTTGCATGTTTGTCACACTTTAATGTTTCAGATCATCAAATTTCAATATTAGTCAAAGATAACACAAGTAAACACAACATGCAGTTTTTAAAGGAAGGTTTTTATTATTAAGGGAAAACAAAATCCAAACACACATGGCCCTGTGTGAAAAAGTCCCCCCCGTTAAAACAATAACTTAACTCTGGTTTATCACACCTGAGTTCAATTTCTCTAGCCACACCCAGGCCTGATTACTGTCACACCTGTTCACAATAAAGAAATCACTTAAATAAGACTTGACTGACAAAGTGAAGTAGACCAAAAGATCCTCAAAAGCTACACATCATGCCGAGATCCAAAGAAATCCAGGGACAAATGAGAAAGAAAGTAATTGAGATTTATCAGTCTGGAAAAGGTTATAAAGCCATTGCTAAAGCTTTGGGACTCCAGCGAGCCACAGTGAGAGCCATTATCCACAAATGGCGAAAACATGGAACAGTGGTGAACCTTCCCAGGAGTGGGCAGGCCAACCAAAATTACCCCGAGAGCGCAGCAACGACTCATCCAAGAGGTCACAAAAGACCCCCCACAACAACATCCAAAGAACTGCTGGCCTCACTTGCCTCAGTTCAGGTCAGTGTTCATGACTCCACCATAAGAAAGAGACTGGGCAAAAATGGCCTGCATGGCAGAGTTCCGAAAGACGAAAACCGATGCTGAGCAAAAAGAACATAAAAGTTTGTCTCCGTTATGCCAGAAAGCATCTTAATGATCCCCAAGACTTTTGGGAAAATACTCTGTGGACTGACGAAACAAAAGTTGAACTTTTTGGAAGGTGTGTGTCCCATTACATCTGGCGTAAGAGTAACACCGCATTTCATAAAAAGAACATCCTACCAACAGTAAAATATGGTGGTGGTAGTGTGATGGTCTGGAGCTGTTTTGCAGCTTCATGACCTGGAAGACTTGCTGTGATAAATGGAACCATGAATTCTGCTGTCTACCAAAAAATCCTGAAGGATAATGTGTGGCCATCTGTTCGTGACCTCAAGCTGAAGCGAACTTGGGTTCTGCAGCAGGACAATGACCCAAGACACACCAGCAAGTCCATCTCTGAATAGCTGAAGAAAAACAAAATGAAGACTTTGGAGTGGCTTAGTCAAAGTCCTGACCTGAATCCTATTGAGATGCTGTGACATGACCTTTAAAACGGTGGTTCATGCTCGAAAACCTTCCAATGTGGCTGAATTACAACAATTCTGCAAAGATGAGTGGACCAAAATTCCTGCACAGCGCTGTAACAGACTTATTGCAAGTTATCGCAAACGCTTGATTGCAGTTCTTGCTGCTAAGGGTGGCCCAACCAGTTATTAGGTTTAGGGGGCAAACACTTTTTCTTTAAGAACTGCATGTTGTGTTTACTTGTGTTATCTTTGACTAATATTGAAATTTGTTTAATGATCTGGAACATTAAAGTGTGACAAACGTGCAAAACATTTAAAAATCAGGAAGGGGGCCAACACTTTTTCACACAACTGTAAATAGGCTACATTTTTGTTAATAGTGAAGATACTTTAATGTATTTTTCGATTTACTCCTGAGTTTAGTGTAACTTTAAGCTTTTGGATCTGAGGTGAGCAGAACACACTGAATAATATAGTCACCCATATAAAGCTGGAGTGTCAGAAAAACTCAGGATTTTTAACAAACATTACATTCCTGTGTCTTTGAAGCCTAGCAATACACTGACACAGAAGTTTGTACAGCCAAAAGACCCAACACCCGAATACAAGCAAAGTAACTTGGTGTATGCATTGGGTAGACAAAACAACCTCTTAAAAAATAAATGGCCCAACATGGGAAGGGTAATATTTATAAGTCAAGACTGTACCTTAAAGAGGAACTTAACTCATATCTTCAAAATAACAACAAAGACACCTTTTAGAAATGTTTAGGAATGGCAATCTACAAACAGACACTTATAAATAATTGCCGGCTTTGTATTCTTTGCATACCTTATTTCTCTTTTCTTCCCCATTCTTCTCACAATGTCCATTTTAACTAAAATCAAGTTTACTATATTGCCCTTTACTTCCTGGAACTCTGGCATATGTGACTGGGACATGTGACCATGCACATCATCTCAGGGGAGGAAAATGCCTTTCCCTGAGAGCTTGGGAGATTACAGATTAAATTTCCCAGCAATGCACTGCTGATGTAATCTTCCCAGGATGCAGCCGTGAAGTGAAAAAAAAAGAAATTGAAAGTAAAATAAAAATATTTTTGTTTCGCTAATGAATGTAAGATTTCATATCCACAAGCAGAGCTGTATGCTAATGTGATTTTTAGTGAAAGGAGGTAAAGGAAAAGAAACATTCTTTCGAGGACAGCGAGATGCATTTTTTTTTATACAGAGAGGAAAACTGGTTCACAAGAGGTGTGAAAGAGGCCATCAATGTCAAATTAGAACAACCATCTTTGAACAGAGGTGGGGACCTTCGACAATATCGTATTATACACATATTATGCTGTGTTTAACATTTCTACCCCAGCATTTTGACAACAATTCACATCTTCAGCCATGTAAATTGAAGATTTAACCCCTTTACAGACTTCCTGACACCAAGGGAGGGTGGTGTCTGCACTTCCTGTGTGGATGTAAATGCTGGGGTATTTTCCTGGCAATCAGAAGTGAAGAAGTAGCTTGGATAAGCTATAAAACATCTTCAACATTCCAGAACAAGTCCAGTTGAATGTGACTAACTACTACTAGCTATACCATGACCTGAATAAATGAGAACCTTCACAGACATACTCCTTTTACATATTATTAGTTGTTTGTTTGCTTCTTAATGATGAATTTTGTTTTTCTAATTATGACATCTAGGTACTTGAATTCTCTTGTGGACACGATTTTGATATACCAGAAGTTTAAGAAACCAAACCTTGAAAAACATACATCCAAACAGGAGCATGTTGATTTTTGGATGGATTTTCTGGTTGAATCCACTAATACAGATGTTTCTGTGGTACGATTTCCAGTAAGTTCATGATTTCTGCTCACAAAACCTGCATTTACTGAACTCTGATAAAAAGTAATGTTTACATGTTCAGATGTTTACCTTCATTAAATAGCTATATGTACAGTATTTGAAGTCAGGTTGGTATTTGTTCAGTAGAAGCTATGTGCCTACTGACAATGTCTGCAAGAAGATCTGTCTGTGTTGTTGGAAACAAAAATCTTCTTTTCTTATGTTTTGGGAAGATTAGAACCTAATAGGTAAATCTGACTGGTTGGCATGAGAAACGGATACTTCTGCTTTTGGGTGTGAAGCCCAGTGTTGAATCTGCAATGTTGACAGATTATGGAGCTGGACTATATATTTAGCTATCTTACTTTAAAGATATATATCTTTAAAGTAAGCATTAGATATATGCCCCAATATAACAAAAAACAAAACGCTGGCAAATACCAACAAACTTACCTGTGTCGGCTCCCGCTGCTGAAGTCCTGGCTCATGAACGCTGTGAAAGAGGAAGTGTGGGTGAGCGCATGCGCAGTCCAGAGCATTGGGGGGGAGAGGAAGAGACACAGAAGCTGAATGGGGGCAGCCGGGAGCTTGCACATAGAAACAGCCACCCTGGGACTCGAGGAGACTGCAGTAAATCAGAGACCGGCACAAGCGCTGGAAGGACTTTGGAAAACGAGTGGAAGGAAGAAGCTGTTCAGATCAAGAGGCATTAAAGCAGTATTTGGGGGGTATTTTTTAGCTTTAATGTCACTTTAAGATGAAGTTGTGCTCAGTGGGGCTCATTTAGGCCTTGTTCACACCAAGCGCGTTCCAGGAGCAGAGTAGTTACAGACCGGATCAAAACTGCGTCCAATGTATTCCAATTGTATTTTTAGCTCCAGTTCACATTGCAGCGTTCCGTTCCAGAGCAGGTAAAAAAAACAGCAGCAGGCCCTATTTTACCTGCTCTGGAACGCATGCAAACGCATCAAAAATGCATGCAAACGCCCTGGAACGCACTGAAAGCCCATTTTAAACTAAAACATTTATTTATTTATTTTAACCAAAAACGGCCCGGAACGCATCAAAAACGCGGCACAACCCACTGCACTGTGTGTGCAGAAATTCATGCAGATCTGCTCTGCATTTGGTGTGAACAAGACCTTAGACTAATGAAGGCGGTGGAAAGTTTGAGTGGTTTCCCCCTAGCATTGGAGCAGATTAATGGGTGGACTGGTATAGTAATGTTCATGCACAGGTCTTAACTGATCAAAGTGATCTGCACTGGTTGATTTTGTAATGTATGGTATAAGCACATATAAACCACAGATCCGTTTTATGTTATGATTAGAGAAACAAGTGAAATATTGCACCGGTTGTTCTTTTAAAAATTTAGTTTTATTATTTTTT